TATATATATATATATATCGCACCCTCTCTCTTCTCTATTTCTCTTACTGGCTCTCTCGGCCTCCGTCCTTATGTCTCTCTCTTCCTCCCTCTCTCTTCGGTGTTGCAGAGATTAGCGAATCGGACTGTTGTAACCACGTTCGTGGGCTCCCACCCGATCGAAGCCATGGAATTTTAAGGGCGAAACAATTATTTGTGTATCATCTTTCGGAGGGGAAGTAAAGACAGCAGTACCAAGTTGTAGATTTATCGCAAGTCAAAAATCCTCAATCCTAAAACAAGGCTCTCAGCTAAATTTAAATCGCATGTTTCGTCGTCTGAACGATACATTCTTTCTCCGAGAGACGGTGAAAGGATCGAAGCGAAATATGCGTGGATGCCTGATGACCTTTCACGTAAAAATAAGGCATCATTGAATTGCATTTGAATTAATTTTCGTTTTTTCGTTTTCATTATCTCATCCTAAGTAGCGAATAGTGTGTGTACACCTAATACAGTGTTGGAGTTGGACTTGAAATCGGAATGGCTGCAAAAGGTTTGTGTAGAATAAGAGGTAGATTAGGGGATGGAGTGGTAGCTGGAGAGGCATTCCACAGAATGGGAGTCGAGAGTCAAATTAATATTCAAAGAAATATATACGCTCATGTATATGCTCCGGCCTACACCTGCGTGATTTCTACACCTGCGTGATGGTGTTCGCGTTACACTCTCATTATCTTACGGAAACACATCAATTAATCAGAGTTGGGAACACTCTCCAACGCAAGGGAGCCCTTTGCAATGGCTGTGACAATCTTCAATAAATTAGTTATTATTGATCTTTCAAATACAGACCAAGAGAGAGAGGGATGGAACGCTACAGAATTCCACTCGCACGTTCGATGGGCTTGAGATGCATATAAATTTATATTCTCAATTATTTAACTTCATAAAAATACAAATGTGATGATTTCTCTTCTAAAATAATTCGTGACGTTTGGAAGCTGTCATGTTACCGATGTATTGGAAATCACATGTATAAGATAAACATGTTTAAATACTGCTAAAAATCCCATATTATTAAATATATAGACTCCATCCGTCTTTTTGTAGTTTTGAACTGTAGTAAAAATCCTCGTTCTTTCCTCGATAGATGCGCCGATGAATATGCCTTGTCACCGCTGGTTAAGCTTGTCTTAGAGGCTGCCGGGGCCAGGACCGGAGCCGAGTAGCAGGCGCGCGTGTAAGTCAGTGCGTGCTGAATCGGCCTGCCTGAGAGCTCCGGGCGGACGAGCGGGCCAAGCGGCGGGTGCGCGAGCGAGCGAGTGTTGTCTGCAGGGCCCTATAACTCCCATATAACGTGGTGGGAACCATTACAGTGGCGCGCTCTAGAGCAACACCTTCTTACACGAACTAAAATACGAATTGCTACCAACGTTATTTAAAACGCGCGTGGGTTCTCGGGACGCAAACACACGCGCTTGATACAAAAGATTGCGCCGCTGTTCACGCTAACTTTTCTTTCATGCGTGTATTATTATGAATAAATGAATTTTAGAAGATAAACACATAGTATTTAACTTATTTTGTAATTTATTTCAGAAATCGCTCTTAGTCAAAATGTATTTGTATTTCTTGACCAATTTTTATGAGCGAAAGTTAGCGAGCCTTATCAGCAGTTGTATCCGGCGACACCAGCGCATCCTATAGTAGCAACCTCTAGCTCTGTCCCCAATTTTGATGGAGAGTTGCCGGGCCCTGGTGGTCTGTCACGCAGGAGCTGCGTCGGCGCGTGCTGGCGCGCGAGGACGCGTGGGTGCTGGCGGTGGGGTGGGCGAGCGGCGCGGACGGGGGCGTGACCTACCCGCAGGCGGCGCAGGACGCGCGCGTGGTGGCGCTGGAGGCGGCGCGCGTGCTGCGGGCGCTGGGCGCGGCGTGCGCGCTCCACCCCTCCGCGCTGCACCTCATCGGCCACAGCCTGGGCGCGCACGTCGCGGGCTACGTGGGCGCCGCGCTGCCCGGCGTCGCGCGGATCTCAGGTACTGCCCTCGGCGCGCCCGTTCCGCGCAACGCCTGTTGGCGTCATTAACCACAAGTGACCAAAGCACGGGCGCGGCGTTCGAAAAGCCAGGCCCCCATTTGCGTGGCAAGCGAGACGTGTTAAGAAACATTTTGAAAGTTGTACAAAGAGACAATTTTTAAAGGTAACCGACCAAAAATAACACGATAAGGTGTATACGATGTAATATTTTTTTTTTTAAATTGCTAATCCGTTTCTGTTTTATTCACTTGTAACTGTGATGATTTTGACATTTAAATTCCCGCTAATATCCTGACGCAATCTGGTGCCTGAATCTCATTAGTTGAAATCGGATACGGTGTGCAAGAGCATCGCCCCTGCTACCACGCACGCGCTCGCCCCGCGCTACAAACGCGCTTTCGCGTTGGGACGGTTATGGAGGCGGCGAACGAAACGAAAATTCAGTGTGACTCGGAGCAAATGTGATTAACTTCTATTGTCGGGGGAGAACCCCTTGATCATGGCTCTGACCCTGACCATGACCCTTGAACATGGCTTTGACCCCATGACTTTTGTATGTAGTAGGGAGTGGAGCCATCTTAGCAAACAGTATCGCTGAGATTTGAAGGCCTTCGATATTTTTCTACAATACATAGATTTTAAAATTAATATTTAATTTTAAATATATCGATGGCGAAAATATTAGAAGTTTTTAAAATTCGTAATAAAATAATATGATTACGATAATGTGCATTTTTTATTTTCATAGAATGTCCGATTATCAAAATTACCGATTTTGTTAGAAATAAAAAATACTTTCGGTGTCATCTAGAAGTAATAACAAAATACAATGAAAACTTCTTAACATTATTATTCATTTTTATTATCATAGAATCAACCTTGCTTGGATTGAAGATACTAGTTCTTCACATTTCAGGTCTAGATCCAGCTGGGCCTATGTTCCATTCTATGCCTGACATAGTACGGCTCGATCATTCTGACGCTGAGTTCGTGGACGTCATCCATACAGATAGTACTGGTATTATAAATTATTGTTTTTCCTGCTTAGAACTATAAATTATTGTAGCAACATTGCTTAAACGTGTCCGTATCGAGTATAACTTCCCCTCTGTGGCGACCCCGTCCCGATGACATGGGTGTTGTGAGACCACCAGTGAAAGTGTTATGTTGCCCCGGGAAATAATTCAAGAAAACAGAAGGCAATATAATAGATGTGTAACATATAGCAATTCTTTATTCCGACGGAATCTGTTAATTTCATGTATATAAGTTCATCAAGTGATAATATATATTTACTTAGTGATAATCTTTGTTCTTTACTTTTTTATTGAAGAAAGAATTATTTGTAATACGAAGTGATGCGGATACACATTTACATACCGCTCGCCTCATCCACTAAATCACAACATTTACAACTTTTAGAAGAGAACTTGAACTCATACGCCCCCTCAACCCTGGAATTCATGGAATTTTAAATTGTACGAAGAGACGGTAAACCAACCGATGGGGAAGTTTTTCTTTGCGCTAGAGAATTTATCAATGTTAAGAACATTTGGATAGAACACTATTTCGAAATGCACGATTTGGAGATTGGTGTACCGGGAACTTCAATGAAAAGTATTACATGCTACGAGGGTTGCCTTTTATATTTCAGGATTAGAGAAAAAAAACAAATATTAATAATAGAAAATCGTTATCGTTAACTTATTGTTTTTCAAAATATTCCCCATGAAGATCTATACACTTTTGCATGCGTATGAACCAATTGTCGAAGGACTTTTGCCACTCTGATTGAGGTATCTCCAAAACATGCATTCTGAATGCAGCGACCGGTTATTCAGGTGTCGAAAAACGTTGACCTCTCAGTTTGTTTTTTGCGTAGAGGAATAAAAAGAAGTCATTCGGTACCAAGTCAGGACTATACGACGGGTGACTCATCCAATCGATGTTTTGGGTGCTCAAAAATGCAGTTGTTTGAGCCGATGTGTGAGAGCTCGCATTGTCGTGGTGAAGAGTGCTCCGTCTTCGGCGGTTGGTTTTCCTGATTTCTTGGAAGAGAGCTGGCAAACAAATCGTTGTGTATTACTCAGAATTGACTGTTCTGTGTTGTTCTAGTGGTACGGTTGGGACATCTCCATTTTTTTCGAAAAAACAGGCGACCATCTGTTTGGAAGTGCTTCGTGCGCGAGCAACTTTTGTTGGATTTTGCTCATCTTGAAACACCCATTCAGTCAACTGCTGTTTACTTTCGGGCTCATACGCGTAAATCCACGATTCATCACCTGTCACGATGTCATAGATGTGTTTCGAAGCACCGCGATCGTATTTTTGAGCATTTCTTTCGACCAATCCACACGAGCCTTTTTTTGAGCGATTGACAAATTGTGTGGGATACAACGCGAACAAATTCTTTTGACAGTCAAATGTTCATGCAATATTGAATGTATGCTGGTCCCGCTAATGCCTAAGATTGTCTCAATCTCATGATAGGTCACATGACGATCTTGCAATATCCGTTCACGCACAGCATCAATGGTTTTCGGAAGAACAACTTATTTTGGACGACCTTCACGAAATTCGTCTTGGAGTGAACTACGACCACGATTGAATTCACTATACCGTCGATAAACATTAGTTCTTGCTGAAGCTTCATCGCCAAAAATTGAATTAAGTTCATTCATGCACTGTTGCGGAGTTAATCCACGTCGAAAGTTGTAAAAAATAATCGCACAAAAATATTCCATTTTGGGGCCAAGATGAATCTTTTAAGTTACTGTAAATAACACAAATAGCGCTCGTATGTCAAAACGTTCTGAGTACGTATAAGCCCAAAACATCCAACTTTACGATAGAGCTGTCAGTTGCCAGATTGCAACACCAGGGTTGCCAAATCCCGAAACATAAAAGGCAACCTTCGTATTGACCGCAGAACGACAGTTATGAAATTTTGGAAGCAATCTGCCACAGGACAAAGAATAGGCACGGTCATCCTGTGGTCAACGCTGGTGATCAATATTTGCAAAGTTAACAAAGGTGAGGTGTGCGAAAAGAAAGTCTACAACTTAGGCTGGTATGGGATGTCGGATAATCTGAGGTAGGCCAACAGACCTGGCAAGATGAGATGTGAGATTTTTCCTCCTCCACCCAGTACAAATTTACTTTTCATACGTCGTGCTTGAAGGCATTAGCGACAACAAATCTATGTTGTTAGAATTACGTATAGGCTTAAATATTGGAGGAGCCACGAAACAAAAAATAAGGCAATAATGAAACATAGGTGTTGGAGGAGATCGCGGATACTTAAAGGAACAATGAGCAGTGAAGAGTTTCTAAAACAGAGGGTGTATGGAAGAAATATAAACGGTTTAAACCAATAATTTAAAAAACCTTCGAAAAATGTGCTTGTTCGGGTTTCTGAAAAGTAATTCTGTGTCATCTTAATATTTCAATACAAAAATGAGGCACTCGAAAAGCAAAACAAAGAGCGCTTTTTAGTCACAGGCATCGCTGCAATGCGCATATGATAATTTTCAGAACTCGAATATCAGAGAAAAGAAAAGAAAAAGCGAAGGACTTTTTGGGAAACATCCTCGCGCCATAAAAATAAATTGTAGGGCTTCTACACATATGTGCAAGTATGTACTTCTACACGTAGGAAATGAGGAGGAAATTTCTGGCATTTGAAACATAAATAACTCGCAGCTCACCGAGAAACGCACTAAATCAGGCACCCATCCCAATATTTTGTCCGTCAACAAATAATCAATTCAAGCAATAGAATCAAAGGTCCTTTGTAAACGCGTGAATTCATTAATGGGAAAGCGCGCGCCCCAGACGATTTCGTCAGACATCAAAATTGGCGGAGAGGCTACTCTCCAATACACACTAACGGCGTTTAGCATTTCGTTTAACAACGCGACTGAGCTGAAAGACTGTAAATCAGCTATCATTGTACCGTCATTCAAAACTGGCGGTAAGAAGAAAGTGCCTCGACAAGTATCCCTCACTTTGGTAATATATAAATTAATGAAACACTTAATATTTAAGTATTTGTGATGTAAACGGGAAAAATCAAATTGGATTTTTCTTGGGCAACATTGATTAAGAAATGGATTCTCTTGCAAAACACAAAGTTGTATCCCTCTTTCAGGAACTAGCTGTCGCAGTTGTCATTGGCTGTAATAGCTGATTTTGCTAAAGTATTCAATGTAGTTTCGCACAAACCTATTCGGAAACTTTCAATGCTGAGAAGAGATGCATGTATCATGGATTAGAGTTCCTTCGAGACAGGAAACAGATCGAGTAGGAAAACAATTTTCAAATATCGGTGATCGTACGCCAGGAGTTCCAGAAGTCTTATAGGGCCTCTCCTTTTCATAGCTTCCGTAAATGATTTCCCAAGTATCATACTACAATCGACTGTACGATTATTCACTGACATTTGCGTGTTATTCCAATAATTTCAATTAAATATCGATGAAAATATTATGCAACAAGACTTAGAAAACTTGCGATATTGGCATGAAATAAATGGTATGGAAATTAAAGGGTCTTACAGTACAATTCCATCGCCCTGGGTTGCAATTACGCTGTAACTGAATACTATTTGGGTAACGAATTCATTTCGCGAATATTGTAAATAGATAGAGTAACTGTCAGTTAAATAGTAGGTTAGGGTGCGACAATCCAATTAACCAAATAATGAGAGACTCGTAGAAGCATTTTGTAACGCGTTCATTAAAGAATGGTAAGGTAATTGACAAATACATATCTAGTCCAATTTAATATTGAATGACGAGTGACTTGTTGAGATTCCCACAACTTATTTACAAAGCAAATATATAAAGAATTCAATGAAGCATTGTGAATGGCGTCGAAGAGTGTTGAAACGTAGGGTAGTGAAATGCAGTGCAGTAAAGTACAACCGTGTATAATGCTCTATATCACCGTGTGATGTAGTGTGTAATATTAAGTTTACCATTACTATTGTAGAAGTATTATTCCTCTAATTCAGGACTATGTTATGACTCGGTTGATTATAAAGTCTACTCCGGTTTACAACCAGCTTTCTAAGGAACACATCCAGGGGCTATCAGTGCTTCTACAATACTTTGCGCAAAATGTGAACTGTTCCCAATAAAGTAATGTCTTGCACACTTCCCAGTCTTTTGAAAGACCTGTGAGTTTAGCCAAGTTCTGACACAAATTTTGCGCAACGAATCATAGAGATTCGAGTAACTATCGGGACGATCTGTGCTTTTCCGTCTCGCATTTGGCTGATCTCGACTTCCAAACTCTAGTATCTAAGACTTTTTCTACCTCCTTGGTTACGTTTTGATCGCATGGTACAGCAACATCTACAAGCAGGCGCGTTTTTCTTTCAAATACCGGATAACAGTAACCTGTCTGTTTGCCTCTACCGGGCGGTTAGTTTAATTTGTTGGTCGTACATAATTGTACACAGTGAAACAGACGTCACCGGTTTTGGGAAGTGTTCGTGCCACTTGAAGCATGTGTTTGAAACTTCAAAGGTCGGTCCAGATCTGCCTGTGGAAGTAACTACACACCCTGTCGTTTCTTTTCTGGTATTAGGTATTTGCAAGAATTGGACAGACTGAGACGATATGATAAATGGTTTCCATTTGTTCCTGTCAAATGCGCTATCTGTCATATTGGGAAATTTTGAGAAGCGCTATATCATAAGGTTGTGTTCCCGACGCTTCATCTTCGGCAGCTATTACGAGTAAAAAGCTTCCGATTTAGGCTTCATTTGTTCCTTGTAAGCCTCATAAATAATTATTCTTAATTGATCTCCTCCTTGTCCATTCTTTTTAGACACTGTCCATGGAGTAATTTGTCTCTCCACAATTTCTTTGAAATATTTTTGTCTCTTACATTTCATGTTAAGTACCATCAGACGTTACTGTGTGTCTTGCATAGTCTTGTTTGCAATGCTTCTTGCTACACTTACAATGCCATTCGACAGTCAGATTAAATGACCTGCCTCGTTAGTGGGTCATTTCGATTGCAGACAACATACATTCCCATCCCGACTATTGCAATATGCCAGGTGGCTTCGACTTGTCTGGGGCCTTTTCATCCTTCTTTACGTGACACAAAATCATTGCACATCAGCTTTTGGGTGGGCGACATGATGCAATATAAGCATATTTGTGTTTTTTCGATCCATAATTCGAAATTATTACTATATGCGGCTAAAGGCACCGCCAAACTACTTATTGTAGATACTTTATTCTTGGAGTTCAGAGCGGACCCTAGAACAAGTGTCACTCTTCTGTAAAAGTCCCCGCTAATTCTCTCTTCGTTTGAGATGATCTCACATTCTTCGATGTCCAGATATTTGTGTTTTATCAGGCTCAAGAGCTTGAATTGCTGTGTGAATATTCACTTCAATGTTCTCGGCCAATGTCATTTTGCCTCTCTTTAAATTTGTTTTTGACAATTATCATGACCAAACTTCATGCAGATGTCATTGCTAAAATTATTAACGACAGACAGCGGCGGGTGAGAATTGCTTCATTCTTTAATGAAAAGTCAATTTTTCTTTTCACTTCAGAACAATGCTACTCATTATAGATATTCATTTTATGTTATGAAGAAACGAAATTACCCATTTTTATAAGTCTTTTTTTAAATTTTCGTGAGTTTCAACTAATAAGTCATTTTTTTACCTTTTTACGTCATTTTAATGCATTTTCACCTATTTAATCGATTTTAATGGTAATTTCTTCAAACAATATTTACGAGGTTCATTTGTTCACCATTGAGTAGCCTATGCAATTTCTTCTCTCACATATTGTAATGTCAGCGGTTGGGAGTACTATGTAATCTAACGTTCCTGTAACGTTTATCAGTGACATTGTTGTTCGTCCGATAAATAACGGCAATCTTTTAAGGAACAGTCCAAACAAAACGTTTGCAACTCGAGTTCACTAGATCAAAAAGAAGCCTTAATTACATGAGTAACATATCCAATAGCCTGAGTTATCTGAAGTGGTTTGATCATTTTTTACGTCATTTTTCTTTGTTTTAGGACATTTTTAAGGCATTTTATTGGTTATGTTTATTGGCAATAGTTATATCAATTCAAAAATATTCTGCCATTTTTATATCTTTCTTTCGCAGGTCATCAAATTCCGTCCCCTATTCACCACCAGGGAGCTTGTAACCCTTTAGTGTGCGACTGCGGTCTATATAATGGGATCAATCTTGATCTGAAGACTTCTTGTTTCTACTCCTTCCTATTCGCTGTATATTAGTAACCTGGTACCCAACGACTTCTCAACTCAATACGTCTATGATGAAATTTGATACACTTCAAAGGCATTCTGATAGTCAATCAAAGACATGTTTAATTTACGTTTTCGTTTCCTTACATTATTCGTATTATTATTATTATTATTATTATTATTATTATTATTATTATTATTATCATTATATAATCACTTATTTTGTATGCTACCGCCACCGAGTTTTACTCAATTTCAGTTAAAATACCTTATTTATTATTTAACTTCACACAAATAAGTATACGACATTTTTAACTAATAATAAATAAACATATTTACGATACATAATATATATTAACCACATATATACTCTCGCACTTCTAAATCTGTCGTCACCCCTGTGCTCCGCGATTATAAACCCTCCTTGGGGCAAGAAATCTAGTCAAGCAGCTCAAAACCTCAACAAACTAAATTATATTTATTAAATTACAATATATTCCAATCTAAAATACGTACGAAAAGGTAAATAACTCAATAGACAAATTCATGAAATTACTCCGAGTACATTGGTGAACTACGAACACGAAATTTGTGGTTGGGAATTGTCTGGGAATCCGTCATATTCCCATTGTTACCAATCCGTTTTCATAATTTGTTTCCAAGGGAGACCGCATAACATCCCTCTCCTATATTTGACCTCTACTTCAGCTGCAGCAGCTAAGCAAATGAGAAATACTATTAGCAAGGAAATAATGACGATTATCTGCTTCATCTCGAGAATCAACAGTGCGTAAACGCGTCCTACATAATTTGTACAAACGATAGTATAATGATAGGGTGCCCCGACTAGAAAATTTAAGTAGTGAATATTATGGAGTATTTAATGAATAAGTTTGTAGGTTTCTTCAAATAAATTCTAAATTAATGTGTGTTGCTTATGAATTTGCTTTCTTGATTTGCATCAGGTTTTATGATAATTGTTGTTAATGTTAGTGTGTCACTAAACTACTCCAGGCCGATATTCCTCTGAAGCTTAGAAGTAAAGTGTTCCTCAACAATAGTTTAGGAACCCGCGTTTGTTATATATGTGTACTTTGTGAACCAATTGCATCAATAACAATCAATAATTGAGCGCGGGTGGCTGGGCGTGGCAGGACTGGGCTCGAAGGACGCGACGGGCCATGTGGACTACTACCCGAACGGCGGCGAGACTCAACCCGGTTGCTCGTTGTGGACGTTTCTTGAGCTCAGTGGGCTGATGGCGTTGTTCACCGAGCCGGAGGAGTTGTTCACTTGCTCCCACGCCCGCGCAACACGCCTCTTCATCCACTCCATGCAACCGACATGCCGCTTCCTCGCCTGCCGCTGCCGTTCCATGCGGAGCTTCCGGCAGGTGAGCCCGCACGCCCACGCCTCTTCATCCACTGCCGGATCACTGCTGGTGCTGGGTGTTCAACTCCCTGATCACTGTTGGTGCTGGGTATTCAAACCCCTGATCACTGCTGGTGCTGGGTGTTCAACTCCCTGATCACTGTTGGCGCAGGGTGTTCAAGCCCCAGATCACTGTTGGTGTTGGATGTTCCACCCCCTAATCACTGCTGGTGCTGGGTGTTCAACTACCTGATCACTGTTGGTGCTGGGTATTCAAACCCCTGATCACTGCTGGTGCTGGATGTTCAACTCCCTGATCACTGTTGGCGCAGGGTGTTCAACCCCCAGATCACTGTTGGTGTTGGATGTTCCACCCCCTAATCACTGTTGGTGCTGGGTGTTTAACTCCCTGATCACTGTTGGCACTGGGTGTTCAACCACCAGATCATTGTTGGTGTTGGATGTTCCACACCCTGATCACTGTCGGTGCTGGGTTTCAAACCCCTGATCACTGCTGGTACTGGGTGTTCAACTCCCTGATCACTGTTGGCGCTCGGTGTTCAACTCCCTGATCACTGTTGGTGCTGGGTGTTCAACTCCCTGATCGCTGTTGGCGATGGGAGTTCAACCCTCAGATCACTGTTGGTGCTGGGTGTTCAACCCCCTGATCACTGCTGGTGCTGGGAGTTCAACTCCCTAATTACTGCGTGTTCCTCGGCGCAGGGCGCATGCACCCCAGGAGGGAACGGGGCAGAAGACTGCGCGTTCATGGGGTACGACTTCGATCCGCGCGTACAAAGGTACAGCATCCCGGGCGTTAAAATGTACCTCACCACAGCGGCTCATCCTCCGTATTGCCGTAAGTTTATAGAATAACACTAAAGAGCCAACCAACAAAATATTATAGAATGTCGAAGAAGCTTTCAACCAATAGCCCACGGTGTGAGAAAGATGTATTGAGGCCACCAGCCTCAGAATTTAAGGTCCTTTAACGATTTATTAAGAAGTTATTTAAGTAGAGAGATTTTAACAATGCTGCTTGAGTGTATGGATTGCATTTGACTTGAAAATTTAGATGCGTTTTTTAACAAATCATTTTAAAGTTAAAACGCAATTCGTCACGTGTCCGTGAAATTATATTTCTTTAGATGATTTTCAAAAATGGTTGCGTGACAGAGCAGTAAAACTCATCTGAAATTCTGAACTAATGTGATGTGTCAATTGATTTGACACATCAATGATGTGTCAATTATATTTCAACCTTTGCAGTCTAAAACATGCATTTATATTCTCATCTAACATTAATGATAATATTAAATGTGATACTTGCAATTATTTAAATTTCTCCTTAGCAAACGAGGAGAGGAGAGGAGAGGAGAGGAGAGGAGAGGAGAGG